GATGGAAGGCGCGCCCGGGAGGGCGGAGCTCGCCAGCTCCGCAGCCGGAGCCCTTCAGTAACGGTTACTCTTGTGTGACGGTCGGGCTCCCCGGGCGCGCCGGAGGCCTTTGTGGAAAGGCTCTCCGAAGGGAGAGGGCGGAGAGAAAAGTGCACTACGGGAGCCACAGCCTCCGCTTCCCCGGAGCGGGCGGAGGCGGAGGCGGGACCGAGACCGAGGGGGCGGGGCCGGAGCGGGGCGGGGCCGGAGCCTGGGGGCGGGGCCGGGCCGCCTGCTCCGGGCCTTATATGGTGTGTCGCGCGCGTGGGCAGGGGCGGGGTCCTTGGACGGGCAGGAGCCTCGGGTCGCGCGCTTCCTAGCGCGGTGGGGCCCTGTGGGCAGACGGGGCGCGACGCTGCAGCGGCTCCGGGCCATCGCTGCGGGGCTGGCATGGTATCTGCGGAGGCATGTACAGTTTCGCTGAGTGAGCACTGGCAGGATGAGGTCCTGGCGCCCTGCAGCCTTCCTCACCGGCGCCGCCAGGCGGGTCCCCGAGGAGCCCGCTTCCCTCCCCAAGCTCCGCGGGCTGGGCCCAGGCCTGTCGAGCTGCCAGGACGCGTTGCTGTAGCGATGGCCTTGGGGACCCCTGGGTTGTCAGGTGCGGTACCTGTGCTGGCTGATTATCTCAAACCGACACCAAGCTACGGAAATAACGTGGCCTAAAGCGCGTTGAGTTTTAGAAGAAGGTCTGGGCTTTTCGGCAGTAACTTGAAAATAGGTTCTATTAGAACACTTTTTAACTTTTAGCACTCACGTGATAGCTAGCTCTTGGTACGCTGTCAAATAGACTTTTACTGCGCTAGTTTTAGAGGTCAGACAGGAAAATCACAGGCACGGGTATGTAGAGATAAACTCGGAGACAATGAGAGTTATCTATTCTAGATTGTGGATCACTTCCCTGAATTTGATGATAACATGTAGACTCGTGCTCTGGAAGAATACTGGTGAGGTTAATGTTTTGTACCTTGTTGTGTAGGAATTCAGACTTTGTTATGCAGGAATTCTTAGAATATGTTTAACGTGGTAGTGATTTTTACATGCTGCTACAGAATACAAATTTTAAGATGTTAAAAACTTACACAGAGTGACTGAGAAATGTGGCTGACACAGAGGAGCATCCCATGCTTCCTTTGGCAGAATTTTGATTTAACTTGCCCTTCAAGCATCCCCCCAGTCCATATGATAAGTTATGTAAGCGAAAGCTCCAATGAACTTTCCTCTGAAGTGTCTGGAGTGACTGGAAACTTGAACTGTATGGTTCATTGGTGCTGCCTTGGCAGTTGTAAGCGAAGTTGTAATTACTAACCTGTGTATTGTCTTCAACACCCCTTCCGCATGCCTCAGAGATCAGTTTAATACTAGACAGTGTGTGGGATTACTTTAAAACAAACAAAACCAAAATATTAAATTGGCATCATTTTATCGGTACAAACAAACAAGGTTATGACCCTATACAAGTTCCTTGTGGGGACCCTTTTGGTTCTTTGCTTAAAATTAGTTTATATTTGTTTAACAGTTCTGAACTTAGGGAGTAAGTCTGGTGTTCGTGACCTCTCTGCCTCAGTCTCCTAAGAGTGAAGTGAGCATTTAGAGACATGACAAACCACATTGAGCTGTCTGAAGTTTTTGCAATTAAATTTTCTAGATATTAAGATAGTCTTCAAGAATTTAGTAACTTTTGCAAAGGAAAAGTTTTAGAGACACAAGAGATAAACTCGGAGATTGGAAAAGATCGGTAAGTATTAATGTACTTTTCTCCCCCTTTCCAGTAAACTACGGGATGCTTTTAGCTAATGGATCATAAACTGCAAGCCAAAGTTCTTGATCATTATTTTAAATAATGGCAACGTTATTTCCAGTGTGACTGCTATTGTTACAAATGTGTCTGTTGTAATTAAAGACTGAAGTGGTTTAAATAATTTTATTTATTTATTTGTGTGTGTGTCACTGCGGTTGGGGTGGAGGTCAGAGGACAACTTGCAGAAATCAGTTTTTCCCCTCTACCATGTGGATCCATGGCTCTTAGGAGTTCAGATAGTCAAACTTGGCTGCAAGCACCATTACTTGCTGAGTCATCTCAACTACCCAAGCCCACGGTGCTTTGATACCAGTCATCTAATTTAAAAATACTTTAATTTTATGTATGTGTGTGTATGTACTGGCGCCTGAGTGGATGTGTGTGAACCATGTTCATGCAGCAACCCTGGAAGGTCAGCAGAGTCATCAGATTTCCGTGGAGCTGAAGTTAGAGAGTGGTGTGGGCTACCATGTCGGTGCTTAGACCCACACCCTGGTCCTCTGCAAGAGCAGTTAAGTGCTCTTAACCTCTGAACCACCTCTCCAGTCTCCCAGTCATCTACTTTTGTGGTCAGTGTATCCTGTTGCATTATTGTCTGGAGACATTTTTTGTTGTCAAATAAATGGTAATGTGAGAAATCCACAGAGTCTGCTTAAAGGGCAAAGGAATTTATTAGGGGAGAAAAACTCACTCTCCAGAACAGAATTGTCACAGGTTCTGGAATGCTGGGGCACAGTCTCACATGGTTCCTGCCATCTAAATCAGTCCTGCATCCAAGTCCCACGAGGGAGCGAACAGCAAGTGTATGTGCATCTCAGGTCTCAAGGGTAGCCAAGAGGCCACACCTCAGAGGCATATACTTCAAGGTCATAGGCAGGTAGAGCAGTTTTCTGCTACGTCTCTAGGGCTGCACTTCAGGGTCATAGAACAGATATCCACTACAAAATGGGGAGTGGAATGCTATTGGTTTCTAGAAGTATGCTACGTTGTACAAAACACTACAACAGGGAATTAGCCCCCTCCAAATGTTAATGAGCAGTTAAAAAAATGCCTACAGAATTCTCTTATGTAGTATGATTTTAAACATAAAAGCTTATTATTTATACTATTTACAGAGAAAGTGTACATTTATGCTATCTTATGGTCATAGTGTTCAAAATGTGAAGTCAATTTGGAGGAATATCTTCCATTTCACTATTATTAGTAAACAACTGATTTACAGTGGAATTACCCAAATTTGGGATAATAGAAATATTTTACAGAATATTTTTAATTAAATTGAGAAAATGTGTCCTTACCTAATAATCAGAATGAATTCCTCATATTCATTCTATTAAGTGTTCTGGCATCTATGTCCTGGGACATTGTATCCATCTGATTCAATATAGGTAAAGGATCTCCCTGTTGTAAAGACTATAAAGTCAATTTGTGTGTACCACAGTACAGAGAGCAGTAACTAATGCAAGTGATTTTCCTGTTAGTGGTTGTTCAATGGACAGATAAATAAACAGCTGAAGGAATAGACCCTTTAGGATAAAAATAATGTATTAATCCAGGCTACAAATGGTATTAGCAGTGAAGTTACTGCAATATACATCCAGAATGTGCCAGTTCTATGAATATGAAAGACAAGCAACAGAGATTGTGTCTCCTAGTAATATGGGAAGCTACTGCCATAAAATCTCATCAGCATGACTGCCCAAACATGAGCTGAACAAAGATTCCACCAATAGACAGGCCAAAGTAGATGGGGAAAAGCCCATGAGCCTTAACCCTATAATATAGGCAACTGAGGAAAGCTGGAAGCAGGTGATCCTCCTCAGGAAAAAACACACCAATTGGTTATTCAGTGGCAAATGATCAGCCCTGAAAACACACATACAAGTAACATTATATGGACTGAACATGTTCAGGAATATATGTATAGACATATTCATAGATGCATGCAATAACAATTACTGAAAAAAGAGGCCATGAATTTGAGAGTGAGGAGGGCTAGGTAGTAGGGTTTGAGGGGAGGAAAGGGAAGGGAGAAACAGTGTAATGATAAACACAAAAAATTAAAAAATAAAATGGAGCCGGGCGGTGATGGCGCACACCTTTAATCCCAGCACTTGGGAGGCAGAGCCAGGTGGATCTCTGTGAGTTCGAGGCCAGCCTGGACTACCAAGTGAGTCCCAGGAGAGGCGCAAAGCTACACAGAGAAACCCTGTCTCGAAAAACCAAAAAAAAAATAAAAAATTAAAAATAAAAAAAATAAAAATAAAATAAAATGGAAAAGAAAGACAAGCACCAAGAATACCTGCATGTAAAGTACAGTTTCTCTAATTGTGTTAGGGCCATTCTAACAGAAGTGTCACAAACTGGGTGACCTCTAAAACAATTATGTTTCTTAGAGTTCTGGAAGCTGGAGAGTGTTCTGAAAGTACTTACAAGTTTGATGTCTAGACTCTTCCGAATCATTGTAGTGATATTGTGTTGCAACCAAATAAAATTTGCCTGAAGATCAAAGGACAGAATAAGCCACTAGATTAAACATAGATGCCAGGCAATGGTGGCACATACCTTTAATCTTAGCACTTGGGAGGCAGAGATCCATTTGGATCTCAAAGCTACCCTGGACTACGTGAGATTGATTCAGTTTAGGAGGGAAATAGAGCCAGGCAGTGGTGGCACACACCTTTAATCCCAGTACTTGGGAGTCACAAGTCACTTGACATCTCATTCCTTTGCTACCAGTATTTGGGAAGCACACATGCCATTAATCCCAGTACTCGGAAGGAAGTGAAATGGCTGGGCGGAGAAAGGCATATAAGGAGAGGAGACAGGAACTAGCTGCCCTTTCTGCTGAGGACTCAGAGGCTTTCAGAGGATTTGAGGAGATAGGATCTCGTCTTCCATTCTGCCTGAGGATTCGGTAGTGATGAGAAGTTTCTCTAGTGGCTTGTTCCTTTGTCTCTCTGATCTTTTAGCATTTACCCCAATATCTGGCTCTGAGGTTTTCTTTTTGTTTTTTTGTTTATTTGTTTGTTTTTATTATAAGACCATTTAGGATTAGTGCAATAGATCATGAATGTACATATTTCTTTGCCAAAAATAATGATTTTATTATAACATATATATGCACACATACATATTTCTGTCTTATCTTTATATGGCAAAGGGGGAAGAGATCTTTCTGAACTTCTAAGGACACTAATCATCCCCCAAACATGCCTTGTCCAGAGTCCATTACGTTGGGGATTAGGCATCACAGTATGAATTGTGGGGATACATCAGGACATAATGTTATTTAATGGGATGGGAGACAGAATATGATGAGGAAAGTACAAGTATGATTCTATACATTTTCTTCAGTGCTACATTTCATTTTTTAAACTTAGATGTTGAAACCTATACTTACCTATCAAAATATAGCTACTACTATATATTATTTTTTGTCTAAAAGATTTACATAGTCATTTTTCTTAAAATGGCAAGTGATTCTCTTGTTTCTACCTTCAATGCCTAAGATTGAGAAACTTTGACAATATAACCATTCTATACTTGTAACCAAGTATTGTTAATTATCTGGTTTATATCTATTAGATTTACCTTAAGGCTGGGTTCTGTTGAAGTCTTTTAAGTTCAACATTTTAACATAATTTTAAATACATTTTAAATCAACTACTCCATACATAGATATTTTTCTGGTATGACACAGTTGACTGTTGGGTGTAAAAATAAGATTGTCAAGGTCATAACAACACATTCATGAACTGGCTTGAGCTAACTGAGTCATATTGTTTGCCACTCAAGTAAAAATAATGCAAATGAGCCCAAATACAAATGCAACATAATTCACAATTATGAGTAATTCATATTAACATGTAACATGACCTAATTCTCCACTTTGGCTAAGTTAATCCAGGGAGGCATATTTCTTTTGCTTAGTAATTTTTTTAAAAATTCATTTTTCTAGTTTGTTTAACAGAGAAAATAATGCATGTAAAACTGGCATTTTACTCAGCAGTTGCTTGTGTACCCACTTGTTAAGACCTTTTAAAAATTTCACCTAAAATATGTTTACCTGAATAAATTAACATCATTATCATTATCTGTTTTTCAGGTTGGCATATATACTGAAAATGCCCATTAGTTCAAGCCAACTACAAAATTGTGAAGGTATGGGAGTTACAAATGTTGGGAAAATAGTAATATACATGTAAATATTAAGTGAGCATAAATAAGAAATTCCTGTAGCTACAGACACCTTCCTTTGCCTCCATAGGACTCCACTTAGGAGAGTAGATCATGTACAGTAGGAAAATTATGTTTCATCCTCTCTGCCAGTTTGATTTCCTTGTAAGGCTCTTCCTGAGTTTCCTACCTCTTGTCCTGTAAGTTTCCTACCTCTGGCCTGTAAGGGTGATGTTCTTGCCATCTCTCTTTGGTGATACAAAAATAGACTACAGGGCTCCCTTGAGGAAGTATACCAGAAAGCTAGAAGAGCACCCTGCTGAGTAGCTGACATCCCTCAATGTTGTCCCTAGCAGGATCTCATGGAAAGCACATGCACAGATAAGGATGTACTGTCTTCTACCTAATGTCTGCCTGTATCAAAGATTGGCCACTGCTAAGGAAGGCCAGCTGATTTTTCTACCTGGGTATCAAATACATGTTTAATGCTCCAAATTATATACTCTAGCAATACCACTTTTTTTTTTCCTCTCATAGAAGGACTTGTAATAAAATAAGATTTCCCAGTAGCCAAGATGTCTTCGTGTCAAGAGTAATTTAGAATCTTTATGGAGACCAGGTGAAGAAGACCTGAATAATGATAAAATCACCATGTTCATGATAAGATGACTATGTTCATAATAAGATAAACCATGTTTGTTTCTAGACTTAATATTATAAAGACGCCTCATGTAAAGATGCTAATATTTAGTTAACTCCATCAGAATCCCAGCAAGGCTTTTACTGAAATTGACAAACTAAAAATGCAAGCAGCCATAGCAAAGGCCAAAAGCACCCAAGCCAAACATGAAGGGAAAACAAAGCTGGAGGAGTTTGGGATGTTGTAATAAACATTAATTAAAATAATTAATTTTTAATATTTAAAAATATTTTTAATATTTAATATTTAAAAATATTTAATATTTAAAAATATTTTTAATAATAAAATAAAAATAATTAATGTAATAAACATTAATTAAAATAGGTATTTATCAGGCTGGGCTGACTCCCCAGGGGATATCATGCCTTGGAGGAGGTGGAAATGGGGGCCGGGTTTGGGGGGGGGAAGGCTGTAGGGTAGGAGAAGAGAGAACAGGGGAATCCCTGTTTTATAATTAAACTAAATTAATTATAAAATAAAAATTTTTAAATATATATATATTACAAAATAAAAAAAAATAGGTATTTATGCAGAGTAGAAAGGCAAACCAGTGAAACAGAATAAACCTAAAAAGAGATCACCAGTGTATGACCCAAAGCATGGCATAGCAGTACAAGGAGTAACGTGTCTTTCAAAGACTGGTGCAAGGTCACATGACTCATATGAAGAGGTTGACATGTATCGTGCTTTGATGGGAATAGGATATGAACAAATACTGTGCAACTAATGACATGCTTCAGATTCCTTCCTTTCCACAGACATTAAGTGCAGGGAGTTCTGGGAGGATGCTGTGAATGCCAGGAGAAGCTAGGTTTCACTCTGAAAAATTTTGGCTAGAGAACTCTGGCAAAAGGAAACTATTTTTAATTCTCCAGGAATTTAAAGAATGAAAGAACAAAATGAATGAAGAAGCAAAGTGATTTGGAAGAAAATGGCATATATTGAAGACAAGATTTAAAATACAGAAGTTTCTAAAAGAGAGATTTGGGAAATAGAATAAATATTTAAAACCAGATTAAAATACTGTGAAGTACATATAAAAAATACTCTGTAACTTGGCAAAATCAATCTGAAATAACCAAAACAAAGTTTCATAATTTTACTGGACTTAAAAGAAAACCCCTTGGGTATCAAGTAGTAAAGAACATATGCTTTAATAACGCCTTCAAAAGCATCACAGAAGAACCTTTCATTTTTTTAAGAGACTCAAGAAAAGAAGATGTAAGCTGAAGATTTTATACCCAGCAAAGATAATCTCATGTTTATAAAAGGCAGATTCAAACTGTTATAATTCATAGCTGTATTATAAAATGGAGTAAAACAAGTAACTCATTATCTTAAGTTCTAACTGTAATTTCCTACATCTTTGAGAACCAAGATTCTTAATGTGGAAGATAGAGATATACATATAAAAAGAAGGTACCAGGGTCTGTATTGATATCCTTGGCCCATGTTGCCACCAAAGGCCACATAGATGACCATGTTCTGGGCTGCAACCTGTGGCCATGAGTGTGTGAGGGCCATGCTGCCACCAGGTACATCCTAATATGAGTGGACTATGCTGCCACCCAGGCCATGGTGTTGTCTAGGCCAGAGCTGCTGCAGAGGGCTATGTCTGGGTACATAGCTCTACAGCAGCCAGGGTCTGAGTTGATGTCCAGGGCTCCTGTTGTCACCAAGGGCTATGCAGATGACTGGTTGGCCACCTTGGACCAAGTCTGAGGACCATGCTGTGCCTAGGGCCATGCTGATCTGGGTGTCTAGTGCTGCCACTTGGAGCCATGGAAATATCTGGGCAGGAGCCTATGTCAAGGGCTATGTCTGGGTCCATGGTCCTGCAGCAGTTGGTGTCTATGGTGATGCCCATAGCCAGTGTTAGCATGGGGATCATTTGAACCATGCTATGCTGATCCAATCTGCCCTTCACTGGCCCTGAAATGGTTGGCCCTGCCCCTTGCTAGATATTGCAACAGGCCAGCTGGCCCTACCTACCCCTCAAGGGAGAGCTCCCAGCACTCAAGAAAGATGACCCTACCCCTCATCATAGCCATGTACCTCACCTAGGAAGCACACTAGAGCTGACCCTAAGGGTATGAGAACAGGAGAGCTGACCCTACTTCCCCTCATCTGCCATGTGGTGGCATGGGTGAGGGAGAGATATCCTCACCCCACCCCTCACCCATTATCACCTGCAGCAGGTGAGAGAGCTGGCCCTGGGGTCACAAGAGCAGGAGAGCTAGCCCTGACCCTCACAGGCTGCAGTGCATAAGAAGCAACTTCTGCTTCCTGATGGGTGATATCGTTCTGTATGCTGTGAATATGTGTTGTTCTGAATGGTTGATAAATAAAGCTGTTTGGCCAATGGTGAGACAGAATAAGGCTAGGTGGGGCATTCTAACTAGAGAGGAAGAAGGAGAAAGGCAGAATAGAGGAGATGCTGTCAGCCTCCTCCATGAGAAGCAAGATGTAAAGATACCGGTAAGCCACAAGCCATGTGGCAAAGTAGAGATTTATAGAAATGGGTTAATTTAAGATGGAAGATCTAGCTAGTGAGAAGCCTGAGCCAATAGGCCATACAGTTTGTAATTAATATAAGCCTCTGTGTGTTCATTTGGGTCTGAGTGGCTGCGAGGCCACAGGAGCCAGGCGCGACCAGGAAAACTTTCAGCTACAGCTTCCTATCTGGGCATCACTCTAAAACTGATCCTTTTGTCAGGGACACAGGCAAGCCAGCCTTGAGGGCTGCCAGGAGCAGGTGTGTCTTATTGTCCAGAAAAGTCTATTGTTGTTGTTGTTGTTTTTCTGCAAGACTTTTATTAAGAAAAATGTTCATTCATTTTACACACCAATCAAAGATCCCCCTCTTCCCTCCTCCTGCTCCCCACAGGCTCCCCTTCCCAACCCATCCCCCACTCCCTCCCACAAGAAGGCAAGGCCTCCCATGTGGAGGCACAGTCAGTAGAGGCAAGTCCAAGCCCTTCCCCCTGCCTCAAGGCTGTACAAAGTATCTCATCATAGGTAGTGGATTCCACAAAGCCCACTCATACACCAGAGATGGATTCTGATCCTACTGCCAGGGGGCCTCCTGAGCAGATCAAGCTACACAACTATCTCACCATGCAAAGGGCCTGGTCCAGTCCCATGCAGGCTCCACAGCCATTGATCCAACTTTCATGAGTTCCCTCTGGTTTGGTTTGGTCGTCCCTGTATGTTTCCCCACCATGATCCTGATGCATGTTTCTGTAAATAAGACAAAATGACAGCTTACAGAATGGGAAAAGATTTTCACCAACCCCACATCTGACAGAAGTCTAAGTTTTTAAAACATTTAAATGCCATATTCTATAAGTCTTTGAAGTGTTTGAAGATTACCTATCTAATTGAAGTATACCTTTATATACCTAAAAATTTAATTAACATGACTATAAGTTTGATTATCCTAGATGACTATTAATCTGTATTTCTTAATTATATTATAATATAATTATATTTTATTTATATTATATATTTATTTATATGATATTATATTATAATTTAAAATGATCTGCATTAACATAATACCCTAAACAAGTAAAAATACACATATAGTATAACAAAATTAAATTTGTATCAATAAACTAAAATCCATAGCAATGTAAAATATTTTAAACAAGTTGTTACTCTTTAAAAGTAGATTCAATAATCTCCCCTTTTATTCTATCATATCTTTAGTTCAAAGAGGAAGATGGGCATCGAAGACACTCCATATGGAGTTTTATCTTCTTGGCAAAATTGGCCCTTTGGGCAAGAAACTGCTTGTGCCTGGACTGCTTGACAGTATGTTATATATTGAGCATGCAGGACCCATGGAAAAATGACCACTAAATTTTGCCAAAACAAGGCAAGATAGTCCTTCAGGTTCCTGCTAAGCAGAAGAAAATGCCAGATATTCTATGGGACACAGAGAGAAGCAACCAAAAACTCTAGGCCTATAGGCTGAAGATGAATGCCCCAACATTGTAGAGGAACTTTGGGTGACTAGGCAGCCAGTTGTCTCTTTCATTCTAGATTTTTGGAAGTTGCTTATAATGTACTTCCTATATTACTTAGGTAATATTACATTCTTCTGGGGTCTTTGATGAAGTTGAAGACAAATAGTTATAATTCTAGCTTTCCTTAGCCATGATAAAAGATAGATATAAAACTTTAGAATCACAAGATAAGATAGATGATAGAATATTTTCTTTAATTTTCCTAAATATAAATAGACTAGATATTGTAACTATAATTCTTGCTTGATAACTGTTTTGTTATATGTAATTTTACTAAGTTAAAATTAATTCTTCCTTTTTGATTAGATAGGAAAGGGGAAGTGCTGTGGGATGTCTTTCTATATGCTGTGAATATATGCTGTTCCCATTGGTTAGTAAAAAAAAAAGCTGTTTTGGCCTAAAGCAAGAAAGCTTACAGCCAGGCAAGAAAACCAAGTAGAAGGACAGAGGAAGGGGAGATGCCAGCCACCGCCAAAGAACAGCAAGACGCCAGCAGAACAGTAATGCCATGGCCACATGGCAACTTACAGGTTAATAGAAACGGGTTAACTCATAAGAGCTAGCTAGCAAGAAGCCTGCTATAGGCCATGCAATTGGTAATTAACATAAGCCTCTGAATGATTATTTTATAAACAGCTGCCGGACTGCGGGGCTAGACAGGAATGGAGAAACATGGATTGTGGATCACAGGGCCAGGAGGGACCAGAGAAAATTCTGGCTACATTTGGTGCCCCGTGTTGGGCACCAGATAATGTGATTAAACCACTAGCAATCCACAGAATCAGCTTAATCAAAGTAATTTATTTGGTGGTAAACTCATAACCACAGGAGATTTATCATAGGTCTGGGAAAGCTGAGCTATGTCCCACACTGACTGGCTTGGTCCAAGATCTCAGCATTCAAACCTTGAGTTAGCCAAGAGTGCTGTGTATGTGCACCCCAGGTCTTATGGATCCCCAAGTGGCCATGCCCCAGGGGCAGGTACCTCAAGGTCATAGGCAGGGGTAACAGCTACAGCTGCCTTGCTAGTGGTGGTGCTTCAGGGCATGGCTCAAACAGACACCCACTACAAGTTAATATTTTGGGGGTTACCCAAACATTTAATGAGAATAATCACATTCTAATTGTGTCCCTTTAGCACTCTTATCCTATTCTCTATCTCTTGCTACAAGATTTCTAGTTCTGGATATAACCCTAGCTGGTCTCTGCATGCTTATATTTTATGTATAAGCTTAATTGCTACCTCCTGGTAGTATTTCTACCATATTTGTTACTAAATGTATCTCACTTGCAACTCTCTCTTGAAACCACTTTTCAAGTAATTTCTTTAACCCAGATGACAAGTTATAATTTTCTTTCTTTCTTTTTTTTAAACATTTATTTATTTATATTTTATGTACATTGGTGTTTTGCCAGTCTGTGTCAGAGTGTTGAATCCCCTGGAACAGGAGTTATAGACAGTTGTGAACTGCCATGGGGGTGCTGGGAATTGAACCTGGGCCCTCTGGAAGAGCAGCCAGTGCTCCTAACTGCTGAGCCATCTCACCAGCCCCTAATTTTCTTTCTTATAAAATAGGAGGGAAGTGCTTGTTGTTGCTTCCCTCTCTTAAAGATCTAAAGAATTTGTGTTAATGGCATCCATAGACTTTTTTCTTCTGATTGGTGATAGTAACTATTGATAACCAAATTATATCAACATACTACAAAGACGTTGAATAGTAAAATAACACCACATTTTACATATCAAAGTTCAGCTGACCTGTTCCAAAAGTCTCAGTCTTAACCAAATCACTGTTGACAAAATGATGGATGCTGCACTCCTCTGAGAGCTTCCTTACGGATTATTTAAAATTCCCTCTCCCCATCTATTTGGAGTGTCTGTACTGCCTTGGCCCAAATCAAATATTGCTTCAGGCATTTGGACAATGTAATGACCTACCTTGTCTTTTAGGCTTTGGCTCTGGCAATGTTTGAAGGGACCTTGTTAAATGTTAAGTCATTGCCCATTATTATAACCCTGGCTCATATTCTCCAGGTATACCTGCCAGTTTGATTCCTTATCCAGAATCAACCAATCATTCCCTTAAAGGGGAAAGAAAAAAAATATGTTTGTATGGGAACAACATAATTTTTTTTCACTTAAAGATTATTCAACCTATATCATATTGCCTTTCTGCTTCTCCTTGATGTCTTGTGAAAGATGGGAGACATAGCCTCTTACCCTATAGAGAACAGCTCATCTTCCTTAAAATGTTATGGTTTTTTTTTTTTTAATGTGGAAGGTTTATCAAAACAGTGACTGTCTTAGTTTCCCAGGGATGTCATAAGGTACCATACCACAAACTTGGTGGCTTTAAAAATAGCCTGAAATCTGTTGTCTCACAGTTCTAGAGACTACAAGTCTAAAGTCAATGTGCTGGCAGTTTCAGTCCCTCCTGAATCTGGGCAAACCATCCCTTGCCTCTCTCTACCTTCTGGTGTTAGCCAGTATCTTTTTCACTATTTGGTTGTAGAAACATGACTCTGCTACATTTTGGCTTCACTTGGTGTTCTCCTTGTTCCTGCTGAAAGCATTTCTCATTTTGAAAATCAGAACTCTAAGTAGTAGAATATAATGTACAGGAATGGCAATGATTTCACTGTGTGCCCTGCAATTGCAGGTGCTGGCAATAGGACAGCGTCAAAAGATGGGGCCTTTAAGGGAGGATGTGGGCATCAAGTTCCTCCTTTGTGAGTGGGATTAAGTGCTAATTGAAAAGCGCTTGGTGGAGGGAGTTCATCTTTGCTTTTCTGGCTCTATGTGAAGAAATAGCATGTCTCTATCCCATGCATAGAGCAAGGAACAGTCTTGACTACTAAACCTGATGGTTCTTTGATCTTACATTTTCCAGCCTCCAGAATTGTGATGAATTGCCCAGTGTGCGATAGCCTGTGAAAGCACAGAAGCAAACAGGACGAGATGGTAACAAAACCTTTACTAGTAGATCACTAGATGTAATAGTGAATGATACAACGCCCATGTTCTCTGTGAGGTTGGTTACATCTAAATCAATATACAGTATATGGTGGCATCTCTTCTGTAAGCACAAGTCATAGATCCAGGAAACAGAGTTGATAGATAGAAATGGGAAGGAATCCCATTACGCTTAACTGCTTTTTTGTCCTAAAGCTAGAATAATCATGGTGTTTCCTGGCCAGTTAAAAGTAACTTTCCTAAAACAATAAATATAAGATGACCCAAGATGGCATGCAGGCAGAGTCTGCTAGGATCTCCAGGAAGTAAGCTTGGAAAATCTGAGTAATACCTATCAGAAAAAGTAGATTTGTACAACACTATCCTGGGGAGACATACACAAATGTCTACTCACAACAGATAGGGAACATATGCACAAATATAAAAAGAGTTGAATTTGGGTTGCCCTATGTGATAGTTAGTTTTTTGTCAACTTGATACAAGTTAGAGACATCTGGGAAGAAAAAAACTTCAACTAAGAAAAATGCCTCCATCAGACTGTCCTGTAGGCATTTCCTGTGGGGCATTTCCTTCACCAATGATTGAGATGGAGGAAGGCCTAGCCCACTGTGGTGATATCACCCATAGGTAGGCAGTCCTATGTTGTATAAAAAGGTGATCTGAGTAAACCATGGAGAGCAAGCCAATAAGCAGCACTCCTCTGTGGTTCTGCTTCAGTTCCTGCCTCCAAATTCCTTTCCTACGTCACTGACATGGCTTCAGTGATGATGTGCTGTGACAGGGAAGCCTACCAAAGCCTTGTCTTCAAGTTTCTTCTAGTCGTGGACTTTATCACAGCAATAGAAAGCACACTGAAGTAGGAATTGATACCAGGATCCTATGTTATTGCTGTAAGTGACCTGATCATGTTGTTTGGGGAGGACTGTGAAAAGGTTTGGAAATTTAGGATGGAAAATTAGTGCTCAAAGCTTAATGATCTTTGCTGTGGGAACTTGAAAGAAAAGAATACTGAGCAATCTGGATGATGGAATCTTGACCTGTGATGCCTCAGAGGGAAGTTTGAGATGCTCTCAAAGACTCTACTGGGGATGTTTGTATAATATATTTAAATTAAGAATCTGTGGTTTCTGGTCAGGTCTGTGAAACCAGTTGTGACTAAGAAGCCAACATCATTGAAGTGAAATCTTCTGGAGAGTATTTTCTCAAGGTCAGCACACAGAAGCTGTGGTCCAGAGGGGAGCAATGAAGCATCTCATGTTAGCAGCCAAACTTTGTAATGGGTAAGAATCCCCCAGATGGCACTTGGTTGAGTAGCATAAGAACTGTAGGATTGAAAGGGTTATGATGAGAAGCTGACGGCTGGCACTGTAAGAGACCAGGAGAGGCCATTGGTGAAGGTACAACCTCAGATGCAATGGAAATCCCAGGATTGAAGGGGTCATGGAGAGAAGCTGAGGCTTGGCACCATGTGACAGGCTTGTAGTCCCTGAAAAGAGGCCAGAAGACTATTAGTGAATGTGAAGCCTGTGGAGACCCCAGCATACTGGAGATGCCAAGACTATGAGATGACTACCAAGGATATGGCACAGAGCAGGCCTGAGCCTAAGGGACAAGTGGTTATAGACAGCAAAGACAGAAAAGTGGAGCTTCATAGGCCCTTTGGAGCCCAGAATATTGTGAGTGAATCCCAGATATGGGACACTGATATGCAGGATGACTTATACGGCTGGTGTTAGGCTTATGCCCATTTGATTGGAACTGTACCCTGGTTCTTGCCTCTTGGAATAAGAACTATGTAACTTATTTTTTAATGTATGGAAACCTACAGTTAAGGAACTTTGGATTTTTAGACAGTGAACTTTTAAAGACTGTGGGACCTTTAAAGGTATAGTATGTTTTATATTGTGATAGTAATATGAAATCTTGGAAATAAACAAGAAATGAAAGCTTGTGGCTTAGTAGTGATATATCGGTGTATCAAATTAACAAAGGGTCAATTATCCTGGTTAGCATTTTGTCAACTAGATTCAAACAAAAGTCATCTGGGAAGAGGGAACCTCAATTGAGAAAGTCCTCCATGGTATTACATGTAGGCAAGTCTCTATATAGGGCATTTTCTTGGTTAATAATTAACATGGGAGGTCACAACCTACTGAGGGAAGTGCCACCTATGATCAGGTGGTCCTGGGTAGTATAAGCAATCACACTGAGCTAGCTATGTACTCCAAGTTACTACGAAGAATTCCTTCATGGCCTCTGCTTTGGTTCTTGCAGCTGGGTTCTGCCTCCAGGTTACTGCCTTGAATTTCTGCCCAGACTTACCTTCACAATGGACTATACCTTTCATTTGAAATAAACCTTTTCCTCTCCAAGTCTCTTTTGGACATGATTTTCATCACAGCAAGAGAAAGCAAACTAGAATAACCATGGTCTTCACCACAGCAAGGGAAAGAAAACTAGAATAACCATGGTCTTCACCACAGCAAGGGAAAGAGAACTCAGATACCCTGCAGCAGAATGACAATGTCCCTACTAGACAACACAGACTAAAAGATAAAAGCCCGGTTCCAGGAATGGCTTGCCTCTTTCAGAGTAGTTAGCCAGTGAAGTCTCCGAGCCCCCAAGCATTCCAGGCTACTGCCAATGTTCTTACTCCAGAACGTGACAGTAAGATCCAGAACACAGATATTAAGATGGTACTAACCTGGACCTTCATCCCTACTGGCTAGCTTTCATGCTGCTGGAAGGTTCTGGGCATGATACTGGAGGAAAAAAGGAACCATCATGGGAAAGGAATAAACCAAAGCACACTGCCAGCTGAAGGAAAATAAGTATTACCAGAGAAACAAGTGAAAGAAAAGGAAAAAAAAAAGAAATGACAACTTTACATTTTATGTTCTTTTGTTTAACTTACTTTTCCCACCAGTTTTCCACAGTGAGGTTAGCTTTTTGTGGTTTCCTTGGAGTCCTTGATTTCTTTAGGCTTGCTGATAGAAAAGGTGGTGTCTCCCAATCTGTGACTCACCTCTCTTTCACAAGTGAATTTATCCTTCATCCAACACTCATGCAAGTTTTATTTCTCACAGCACAAAGACCTTAAAAGTAGGTTTACCACCTTTTTTACAAATAAGAAAACTGGGGTTTGGGGATTTAAATGATTTGTTTTTTAGTCATACAACTAATTTAATGACAAATTTCAAAATCAAACTTTTGATACCGCTCTACATTCTCACAAACTAACTTTTAGTAACTATTTTAATAGAATTTACTTGATCTATTAAGATTCTCCCTTTAAGCTACTAACAAATAGTACTTATGAGACCCTCACCCTAAAAACCACAATAGCTTTGTGTGTGTGTGTGTGTGTGTGTGTGTGTGTGTGTGTGTGTGTGTGTGTGCGCGTGTGTGTGTGTCCAAGTGAGTTTAATTAGAGTTATTTAAAGGAACATGGGTAAGCGGTTATTTAAACACAGTCAAGTTACCAGTGGCTACACCACTGGAAAAAAATGGCTCTCCTTCCCCCCAAAAAAGACCATAAAATGCCTATAGATCCTCAGGATGGCCAGGGTCTCATAAGACTCTGCCCTCTCAACCTAAACTTTATTCTTATTTTTTCTAAAGGAAATGTATTCATAGCTAAAAGAAATCATGTTTAGTCATGGGAAATTTGTTAGTAACAGTCTTAAGATGCCTCTTGTATCATCTTATATAATTTTTACAATTACTTTTTGAGTACATCCTGTGGACATCTTAAAGTCATGATGGGAGCAGTTCTTCTAGGTGTTCCTGTAGTAGAGGATTTTAAGCTGTCAGGTGTCAGTGTAGTTTAGATCACAAGTTTAACCTGTAGCACAAGCCACTCACTTTGAAAGAAAATGACCGTCCTTACTTTATTTAAAGAACAGTCTAGTGTGTTAAACTTTAGGGGGAAAAGGGCATCATGCGGAAGACAGCTAATTAGCTCGATAGATTTCTGCAATTCTAATTGCTTCTGTGAGATCCAGGCATACACATCAGCCATATTGGCTTGTCTCCTAGGATGAATGTTAGACATTCCAAGGTTAGTGGGGCCCTGTTAGAATTCTGCTGACACCTCCCTGTCCCCACTGAGTTCCAAAGCATTCTTGTCTACTCTTTCTTTCTCACTCTAGAGGCAGCCTACCAGCAAGTACTGCTGGGTTCCTTTTCTGAATCTCTTAAAACCATGACTGTTGCCATGATAGCCCACACCATCTCTCACCTCTAGCAATTTATGTGTGCCTGCTTCTACTCAACCATTATTGTACCGCCCGATCTACGTGGAAACTGGAGTAATATTTTTATAATATGAATTAGACCCTGTTTCCTACCCTGCAGCCCAAAGCTTGTGAATGGTTAACTATAGGCACGTTGTAGCCGGACTAGAGACTTGTATCTCCAGCTTGCTCTTGGTGCCTACACACCCTTTTGTTTGCCCCCATCTAGTATGACTGTCTCTCTGGCATTGCCCTACCCATGCCGCCCTTCCAGTTTTTAGCAGCAACACACCAAGCCTATTGCTCTAGCTTCAAAGACTTTACACTTGATACTTCTTTTACCTTTCTCTGGATAACTTTATATAATTCTGGTCATCATTCAGGAATATGGTCAGATATCCCAAGAAGGGCTTTCTTTGATTGTACCACTTTAAATGAATGGCTCCCCACCATCAACTTCCTTTTTAAGCCTTATTTCTTCATATCAAGTATTACTAGTTATACATATTAATTATCCTTTTTAGAGGAATAGGAGTTTTTTTTTTCTTTTCCATGGCTCCATCCCAAATACCTTGTACAGTTTCCAGCATTAGATAGAAATAAGCATTTTTGAGTGAATGGATGAATGTATTTATTTATTTAAATATTCACTATTCTAAAATTGAGTAAAACAGTTTAATTTCATGTGTAATGCTAGCTTAATGAAGTTATTTTGCTTTGGAAAAAGAATTAGTTGGCTAATATAGTGTGCCAGTTTAGGGTCTGGAGGCTTTGCCCTGGAGGAGGTGGGAATGGGGGGTCGGCTGGGGGGAAGGGGAGGGTGGCGGGAGGAGGGAGAGAACAAGGGAATCTGTGGCTGATATGTAGAACTAAATTATATTGTAAAATAAAATAAAATAAAATTTTAAAAAAAGAGAGAAAACCATTAATAGGTTCCGAAGACATAAAGCCCACGAAAGCAGAATTCATCTTCATCTGCAGTTGTGGTTCTCAACCTTGGCTACACACTAGAATCACCTGGAGAAGTTACAAACATTTGAACTACAGAAACTTTGGGGATGGAATCTAGGGCTTAACATTTTTTTTTAATTTCCCAGCCAAATATAATGGTCAGCAAAGGCTGAGAACTACTGCTCCAAGAGGTGTTTGTCTTCCTTTCTTTCCTTCTTTTCTTTCCTTCTTTTCTTTCCTTCTTTTCTTTCTTTCTTTCTTTCTTTCTTTCTTTCTTTCTTTCTTTCTTTCTTTCTTTCTTTCTTTTCTTTCTTTCTTTCTTTCTTTCTTTCTTTCTTTCTTTCTTTCTTTCTTTTCTTTCTCTCTCTCTCTCTCTTATTCTTATTCTTATTCATTTTAAAAAATAAATCTCAATATTGAAAACAGTTCAGAATGTAAGAAAATAGTCACTAAACAAACTAGTGGGTGAATGAATGAACAAGCATTGGGCCTAGTGGTAGAGAGCTTGCCTAAAGTTTGTAAGATCCTGGGTTCAATCCACAACACTGAATAAAAAAGAACGTATTTGCAAAAATTAAAAACTATTTGAAAAACATTTAAAAAGTATAGTATACTAATGAGGTTTCCAGATTTAGCAAATTAAATGAGAGATTCCCAGTTAAACTTGAGATGTAGAAAAACAGCTTATTTAGTAAAAAGAAAAAAAAATCTGATATTGCATGGGACATCATTATACTAAAATATATTCATTACCTATGTTTAATTCAAATGTAACTGAGCGACATGTATTTTATCTGACATAACTAACTAGTGATGAAGGGATGGTTAAGATTCCCTTATAAAAATCATCATGTTATTGAATATGTTAAACGATTCGCTGTGAAATGGTAATTTAATCTCTGCTGTCTTCTGCTATGCAAACTACTATAAAACAGTCTATTATCCTTAGGAATGAAGTTAATTTTTCCTTTTTAAGCTTTTAATAAAGCAGTCATAAAAAATGAAATGAGTTCTTACATGCTTACATTGTATATCCAAAATGATATAGAATTTTAAATATTTAGTATCTGTTTTTCGGTTGTCAACCTGTGGGTTGTGAACCCTTTGGGGGGTCAAGCAACCCTTTCACAGGGGTCACATATCAGATATCCTGCATATATTTACACTGTGATTCATGACAGTAGCAAAATTGCAGTTATGAAGTAGCATAATTTTATGGTTGGGGGTCACCACAGCATGAGGAACTGTATTAAAGGATGGCAGCATAAGAAGGTTGAGAAAAACTGCTCTAGAGTATGCTAAATGGACAGGTGTCAAACTGCCATGTAAAGATTTATCTTTGTACCCGTAGATTAATGCAGCTCTCAGCCCTCACCAGAGAAGCTTTTGGCAGTGGACAAGTGTGGGAGCCCACAGAGGCTATCTAGCAAGACCTTACTTAGGGTCAGAGAATCTGAGCTTGCTTTACCCAGCAGGGCTGCATAATGGAATGATCTGACCACAGGTGTGGTTACCAGTTGTTTGGAAGGGTCTACACTGGGCTGTACTATGAGCTTTGAACTTGCAAGGGGGAGGGAGGTCTTTTGCATATTATAAAAAAATCCTTTTGAATAAACCTCTGGGTGGCTGGATATTGATCTAGAGCCCTCCTGAAGCTATCCTGTGTCTCTTCCTTTCTCCTTGTCATCTAGGTCTATCTTTCTATCTAATATTTCCTAATTTCTCTCTCCTTCCCCAAAGAACCCTTGGAAAGGTGGGAGCATATCAGAGCTGGACTCCCACAGTCTCCCACAGACAAGTTAATACAGAGATTCACAGCTGACTGACATGCAAAGGATATCTGATTATGGAATGTTTATCCCCCAAAGGAACATTTATGTTACCCCAACCTCACCACCAAGGCTTAGGGACCATCAAGGAAGCAGAGGTGGAAATTGCACTCACCAGAAGTTGGGAATCAGGGGACTGCAGTGAAATTGTCTGTGGACATGCCGAGGGTGGTGCACTCATGAACTCACTGAAACTATTGCTACCTGCACAAGTACCACATAAGATTGAGCCTGTTGATATATCATCAGGGAAGAGGGAACAGCTCTTGAGTTCTCGTCCCTCCCTGAAGGATTATTGACAGTGGTGACTGGGGGAAGAACGTCACTTTCTTCAATGATATGACTACAGATAAGCTGTTCATGCTCCAGTAGATAGTATCTCACCATGCTCAGCTAGGAAACCCACATCAAAAAAAAAAAAAAAGATGAAGTAGAAGGAGGATTGTGGGGAAGAAGAGGGGTTCCAGCAGGAGAAGAGGTGGGTATGAGATGTCAACAGGAGGTAACTGGGACTAAAATTCAGAATATACATATATGAGACTGTCAAAGAATGAAAAATAAATGACATCTATGGAAAAGACAATAAAAACCATTGCTCCTGGCCTCTGGATCAGGGACTGTATCTCAAGGACTATGCTTTGAATTCTCATTCCATCCCTAGGAAGTATGAGAAAGAGTACAGTCTTCCTGGCTATGAAGCCTTATTTCTCCTTAGCTATTTTCTTCCCATATTGACTAGATAAAACAAAATTTCTGTAGCTATAATGAATGTGGCCTGTCATTAATGCCCAATAAAATTATTGGACAAATCAGTTAGATAATTGGTCATGTGGCCTAGTTATCATTAACTGTCAACTCGACACAGCCTAGAAATCACCTGAAAAGGCAGGCTTGATTGAGAATTGTGTCACCAGCTTGGTCTGTGAGCATGCCTCTGAGGGGTTGTCGTGTTATAATTGATGTAGGAGGGTTCAGCCCACTGTGAGTGGTGCTATTTCCTGGGTAGATGGTTCTGGGCTGTATAAGGAAGTTAGCTGAGGGCACTGAAAATTACTCTCCCAAGCCATTCCTCTGTGGTTCCTATCTCCAGGTTCCTGCCCTGACTTCCCTCGGTGATGGCTAATGGCCTGGATTCACAAGCCATATAAAATCTCTCCTCCCCAAGTTACTTTTTGTCAATATTTTCATGATAGCAACAGAAGGAAACAGGAACATCGTGCAAGTAGAAGCGTCATGGGTCCGGACTTCTGCTTAAAGTGCCCGTATAAGTTCTCCTCACACCTTTGCTGTGGGAGCCCACAACTGACTCAGTTTCCCAGTTTGAATCTGAAGTCTATTCTGAGTCAATAGAGTTCAGGCTTGCTTGTTCCAGGACCATAAGAAAGTCCTGATTAGCCTATGGGAAGGAACATACTATCTAGCTAGACTCAGGCTGCTGATGCCTGCTGGAGGTACATTGAGATAGAAAATGAAACTGCCTGCTCCTTGACTCAAGGACAGGATAGATAGTGGTTGAATGCCTGTGCTGTGCATTGTTCTGCTTCTGTCCTTCAAGACTGTATACAAGCTGGCTGTGAAATAAACTCAGGGCTGTTCAGCACTGACTGGCAGTCCTCTGGACTCTTTTCTGTCTTCTTCATTGTCTCTACAATCGGCATGCCTCCACCCAGATACTGCAGGCTCTGACACTTTGCAAACAAGAAACCAACACTCTTATATTTTTGGTTGTGAGCCTAGGCCTTAACGGCTGAGCTGGGCGGTGGTGGCGGCGGCGGCGGCGGCGGCGGCGGCGGCGGCGGCGGCGGCGGCGGCGGCGCACGCCTTTAATCCCAGCACTTGGGAAGCAGAGGCAGGAGGATCTTTATGAGTTCAAAGCTAGCCTGGTCTACAGAGGGAGTTCCAGGACAGGCTCCAAAGTTACACAGAGAAACCCTGTCTCAAAAAACCACAAAAAAGAAGACGCAAACACCCTTCCACAGCTAGGTGGAAAGTATGTGTGGTCTGAAATTCACCAGTGGGTGGGTGGGATACAAAGATGGACCAACCGTGGATCCTGTATAAAGAATGAAATAATGAAAATATATTTTACATTTCTCATTTCTCAGTCTCTGACCAGACTACAGAGTAAGGAGTGATTCCACACCTTCCTGCAGAATCTGCCAAGTGACTTTCTTAGAATTTAGGTCACTCACAGATACTGGCTTATAGGAACAATATCTTCTGTCACTTAAGGAGAATGCTTTTCTTCAAAACTTGTCTAAATATTAGAACAAAAAATTAAACATGTTTTGATTTACTTTCTTTTGTTAAATATATGTCTTCACAAATTTTAGCCATCTCTAATTTTAATCAGCAGAGGAAAAACAGGTCAAATAGAAATGTCTAGTTTGTCCCATTATGGGGAACTATTTGTGCAAAGGCATAGTTGGGCAAGCCATAGTGCTCAGGCTGACAATCTGCGGTGAGGGTCATTTTTCTGAAATGGAGTTTGTTTGGCACCACATTGTTTTATAAGCAATGCAAGCCTGACATTGTCAGAGCCTGAGATGACATGGAAAGGCCCTGGGAGGTCTCAGCATGCCGTGACATCAGGTGCAACTGTGAGTGTAACTGTGGAATGCAATTTGGATTTTGTTTCTCTGGTGATTATCCTGAGAAAGTGCCTTGTGTCTGTAGTGCCTAGCTCTCTATGGACTGGAAGCAGTTGTTTTGGTTGTCTTTTAATTTAAGACCAGAGTGGACACTCTTAAGATTAGATTTATGATATCCTAATTTATATATATATGTTCTTAGTGTATTCATCTTACATTTTTAATTGGTGCCCATAGTAATAACATGTATTCCTTGATGAGGCAGTGTAGTAAATGTCAGAGCATAGTAGAGGCAATGGCCTTGGGATTGTCTTCTTGGGTTCTGACCCTTAGCTTTGCCTCTTATTAGCTGTATAACTTTTGGCCAAGTGCCTCACTCTCTAACTTTAGTTCTCTAATTTGTGAACAGGAGATGATATTTTCCTCCTGAAGCCATCACCCCAATGTCGACAGGTTCCAGGCCAGAACCCTGGCCTTTGCCTTACAACAGCCACACATGGGTGCTGAGAGGACTCTGAGCTAGGCAGTTTCTGCTCCCTGTCAGCTTTCTTTCACGGGGAATGTAATAGTCTACTCTAGTGAAGTAACCGCCACCCCTAGGACAGGCTTATTTTTCGTCACTTGCACCATTTTATCATTTTCGTCTTCTGTGAACTGTTGCTCCTGCTTTGACGGCTTTCAGAAGCTTGCTAGCACAGCATTCGGCTTTCCGTTCGTTTTCTCCCTGGGAACTCTAACTCGGCATAAATACTGCCACATTTGCCTTCAAGTGCCTCAGGTCTTTTGTCTGTTTTCCCATTCTCTCTTGTTTGTGTCAGCACTTTACAAACATAATCCACATGCCATTCTAAACCATTTTGATTTACCAAAGCCTCTCCCATCTCACACAGGTCATGTCCCATCACGGAGTTCAACAAAGCTGACAAAGCCCCATCTGAGACCTGAGATGTCTCATGGGTCAACTGCTTCCTTAACTCTTCTGCGAATACAACCTACCTGCCCTGTGAACTGGGCATCATTCACTGACTCCCTCATGCCCACTTTACTCAGTTAATGTCTGTCCTTCCTCTCTTGTCTTCAGGCTCTTCACAGGGACCTCAGCTGGTAATGACAAAGTGACCCCAATGGCTCACATGAGCCAACCCATCAGGGATTTACCTGTATTGTTTCAGACTATACTCCCTTTATCTCAATGCTGCATGAGCAGCTCAATTATTCAATTTTTCTGCTTCCGTGGCATTCAGACTGATCATAACCACATGTGGTGATATATTGTGTACCCTAATAAAATTTGCTGAAAATCATAGTACAGAAGAAGCCATGAGATTAAACATAGATGTCAGGCAGTGGTGGCACACACACCCTTAATCCTAGCATTCAGGAGGCAGAGATCCACCTGGATCTCTGTGAATTCAAAACCACCCTGAATTATATGAGATTGACTCAGTCTAGGAAAGAAACAGAGCCAGGCAGTGGTAGCACACACCTTTAATCCCAGCACTTGAGATCTCACACCTTTAATCCCAGTATTTGAGAAGCTTACACACCATTAATCCCAGCACTAGGAAGGAAGTGAAATGGCTGGGCAGAGAAAGGTATATAAGGCATGAGGAGACAGGAATTGAAGGCTTTCAGATGAGCTTTTCTGGCTGAGGAGTCTTAGAGGTAAGACATAGCAGTGACTTTTTCCTTTGTCTCTCTGATCTTTCAGCATTTACCCCAATATCAGGCAATAGGTTTTTATTATAAGACCATTTTAGATTCGTATTACAACTACCCCTATGTCCCACTGCTTCAGGAGCTAGGTCTGAGAGGTTCTTTCATTCCCTGTTTAAAATTCTTCCTCAATTCGAGCAGTTCAAATGCAGAAAATTTCTTGGTTATCATTGTTTCTAGTACAGGCCATTAGGAAGGATCCCATCTGCATGCTGAATCATGCATTTTCCCTTCCTCCCTACTAAAGGGGATATTTAATTTCTATCACTTCTTCCACAGTCTCCTCACTATCCAATCCCCCCATGAGTTCCAAGGGACTTAGCAAGTCCCAATCTGCATTATTCTCTTGCATATTGCCAGCTCTAGGAACCAGCAAGCCAATACTGTAATTTCATTTTCCCCTTTACTCAAGTTTCCTGCCAAATCACAAAGTAGATGCAGCAGAATGTGTAGCGTCTGCATGTCTTTTTCCCCACTGAAATTCCTCTATCACATAAGTAAGTTCTTTCTGGAAAGACCATGTCACATGACTGAAGCCACCACCTGTTTATTATCACATCTTGCATGTCTACTTGCAGGGACTTTAATACATTTTGTAGTCTATCAGTCAATCAGTTTGGGGAGCATCTGCATACTTTCACAGTAGACAATACCATTGACCAGTGTGGTATGTCACTGTATGCCATGTTCAGAAAGCCAGGCATCTTGGGATTCCTCTGAAGTACACTGTAGTCTCAGATACTTTGGTCTTAGTTGCCTGTCACATCACCAATTGCAGGAACATGCAATCATCACTACAGGAAAGAGGCATGACATGGGGAAAGGTACCCATTTCCAGATTATTCCCTTGGATGATCCACTCTTGGGTGAATAAGCCTCGATTGAATGTGTCAGCATTTGACTATAGGTACCACATAGCCACTTTTACCCAAATCCATGTTTGGTTGTCAGTCCATGTTTGTGTTATGTGACATTTCCTGGGGGTGAGAGGGACATAAAAAATTGTGTATTCACTTCAGATAGAGTATCAACAACAGAGCCAGTAATAATTCCACTATTAATGAACCAGTTAGTTTATTGTAGTTACTTGGTATTAGTAGTTACCTGCACGGGTGAGTGGTTACTTACAGGAGCACAAGGTAACTGCATTCACAGAACACCCCAATTCTCAGCATGGATGGGGACTCCAGAAGGCTGCATCCCTGGAGTTCCATGCCCAATCACTTCTAGTCACTTGACTGATAGAAGACTTCTCTCCCAAGGAAGTATTTCCTTCTTTTATCACTTAGTGAAAGAGACATATCAGTTTATGTAGCTTTCTGTACTTTGAAGTTTTTTTAGCTTTGGGAACCCAGGCTAGGAACTTTAAATTAGGGAGAGATAGCCATACAACAAATTATTCTGTAGTAACGATGACAAAGGACCAATCTGGTAACTACTGCCATGGAGAGAAGTGACCATCAGATCAACCTTGAAGCTGGCAATGAATAGAAGATTCGGGGTACATTTTTCTAGTGTCCCATCATCAGGTGTAATTAGACTTTAAAATCAAGTGGGGTGGTACTTATTTATGTTTGATTACACCTTGGCATTCTAGAGACGCATCCATGAGGTATTACACTTCCCATAACATAACAGTAATGATAAAACAGATTTCAAGAATGGCGATTCTATTTTCATATTGTCTTTATGACAGAGACACTACTAGTTTGATGATCTGTGGATCTGCAGAGTCCATTCCTGGCAAGAATGGCCTTGGAAAACTCTGAGCGAGCCGTTTGTGCTTCATGCATTTCCAGAAATGGCTTCTTGTAGTGGTGACTCTAACAGTCTCTGTAAAAAGTGTCTGGATATGGCATAGCCTGCTTTAAAGACCATCCCAAGTCACAGGAACCAATTAAAGGTTCTGCGAAGAGCAACAGCAATCTAGTGAACCATCATCACTGAGTATTTTTAGGTCACTCAACCCTGAAATCTTACTCTGAACATGATTTAGGACCCATCCATGGAATAAAATTTGGTCACTAGCAACATTGCTACTATTTCACTTAGTTATTATTGATATCTATTTGTTGATCTGAAAGATTTGCCACTTAAAATTCTTGTTTTTAAAAATGTTTAGGAAGAAAAGAATAATAACAAGGCTGTCCTAGAGTCTGTGTTTGCAACTTCCTGCTCATGACTGACACTGAACTCAACTTGCCCCAAATATTCTCTGGTTACTTCATCATTCCTTATGTGTTTTTTTTTTTTAAACAATATCTACTAGTAGTGTTCAAAGTCAGTTATTTACTTATCTAGTCTCACTCCTACTTGTG